AAAGGAATAAGATCAATGAACAACGTACAGCCATTGGCAGTTTGCTTCTAGTCTTGTAAAGAATACATCAATCATGTGTTGTTTATATTTGCTCACTTAAATGAGCTTCCCTACGACCCATCAATACCACTTCTGGGAATATAATCTGGGAGCCCAAAAAAACACAGCAGAAATACATGCACTTTTAGGTTCATTGCAACACTGTTCACAATAGCCAGAATCTGGAAATAACCCCAATGCCTGAGAACAGAGGACCAGATAAAGAAACTATGGTACAGTGCACAATGGAATACATGCAGCTGTTAGGAAAAAATGATTATTATGAAATTTGCTTATAAATGGATAGAGTTGGAGAATATCATACCAAGCGAAATGGGTAAGAAGGAGAGGGATAGGCGTAGAATGATTGGATTCATTTGTGTCCAATGAAACATAATATGTAGAAAACATAATAGTAGAAAACACTGATACCCCAGGACAGTAGAAACAAAGGCCAGGAGGATTGGTCCAGGGTTGGAGGCCTGCCTCAAGTGCTGCAGGAGAAGGCAGTTGGGATAGAGGAGGGACCGCTGTGACAAAGGTAGTTGGAAATTATCACACTGGATTAGAACTGCATGCTTAAAATATGTAAAGGAACATACATGAGAACCTCTAAGTATCTGTATGGCAAACCATAATGCCCAAAGGGGGGAGGGATGGAGGGGAGTGGAGAAAGAAGAGAGAGAGGAGAAAGAGAAAGAAGGAAAAGTGCCTGCCGTAGAGATAGACTAGTAGGAGGGAAACTGGGGACATTAGTGGTGGGAAACGTACACTGGTAGAAAGATGGGTGTTGGAACATTGTATGACTGAAACCCAGCCATGAACAGCTTTGCAACTCTATCTCACAGTGATTCAATAATAATAATTTTAATTCGCCTACACTATTCTTTGTCACAGCTATAAGGACGATCAAAGACCCTTCTTTCACAGAGCTTATGGTTTTGTAGAGCAAAGATAACAAACACATAAGTCAGATCAGATAGTGATAATTGCCATGAAGAAAATAGGATAATAGTTTATGAATTTATTAGAGGGAGAACTTATTATGGAACTGCATGCTTTAGATAGGGAAGATTGGTGAGCAGGTTATATTTGATTTGAGAGCTGAAAAGATGTAGTATTTAGAAAGCAAGAAATTTCAGCAAAGGAGACTGCAAAGGAAAAGGAAGCCTGGAACAAACAGGAGATGGGCATGTTCCAGGGATGGAGAGAAAACAGGTGTGGTGGGGTGGAAGTGCACAGGTGAGGCCAGGAACAGACAGTTCTCTACCTGCCTGCACAGGAGCATTGTTGAGGAGTTGTCAACAATGTCTAGTGCCGAAGTCCCATCCCCAGAGATTATGATTTAATTGGCCTGGAGTGGGGCCTAGGTGCTGGTAGGTTACAAAAGCTCCCTAGGAAATTCCATGGACGACCCAATTTGAGAATATCAGTCTTGAGCATGCAGAGTCACACAGACTTTGGTAGGGAGCTGGGGCTCAAACTCTGAGATGCGGGTAGCTACTTAAAGGTCTGGGCCAGGGAACAAAGGGGTCTGACCCACCACTTTGACTGTGGTGTGGGGAGTAGAAGTAAGTGGTGTCGCTGACCCAGCTCAGAAATAAAGAGCTTGAACTATGGTGCTATCAGTGGTAAGAAAGTCATTTGGGGGGTGTTTTAGGGGTTACAGCCATAATTTGCATTGACGTTAGGATGTGAGGAAAAAGAGGCCGAGACTCCCTGCGAGCTGCCTCTGTGTCTGGATGGACAGTGGTTCTGTTCACAGAGAGTTTTGAGAGGAGGAACATACTGTATGCGTTGGTGGGAATGAAAACTTGAGGCTTGTTTTCTCACTAGACTTAGATAACGTAGATAATCAGATTCACCAGGATATTCTGATAAATCCTATTTTGCAAATGCAGGTTTTCTAGAAACTTCCAAAGGTAAGCACCAAAAGGAACTGACCATTTCCATTCGTGTAAGAAGGAAAGCCATGCTGATCATGAGCTCCCTTCCTGCAGGGAGAAGACTGGCTAGAGGACAGGAACGTACTTTGAGAGAGCGCTGATAGTCAGCACCTGTATTGCTATCAAAACTGAATGGCTAGGTGCTGAATAGAATCTAAAATAACATTTAAGGGTTTTTTTCCAATAAAAATGCCTCCTAAGAGGACCCTCCCAGGGTGGGAGAAGCATGCTGAAAGTAGTCTATAGATCAAACATGATTGCCACTCAATGCCTCTCTTGCAAAACACAGTACCCAAAAGAAGAGAGAGAGAACAAGGGGGAATGCCCTGCCACAGAGGCAGGGTGGGATGGGAGGTGGGAGGGATGCTGGGACCTGTGGTAGTGGAGGATGAGCACTGGTGGAGGGATGGGTACTTGATCATTGTATAACTGAAACCCAAGCACAAAAATTTATAAGTCTATAACTGTACCTCATGGTGTTTCACTAATAAAAAAAAAAGGAAAAAAATAAAAACCAGAAACAAAAAAAATGCCTCCTAAGGGGTTGGAGCGATAGTACAGCGGGTAGGGCATTTGCCTTGCATGCGAACGACCCGGGTTCAATTCCCAACATCACATATGGTCCCCTGAGCACCGCCAGGAGTGATTCCTGAGTGCATCAGCCAGGAGTAAGCCCTGTGCATCACCGGGTGTGACCCAAGAAAAGCAAAAAAAAAAAAAGCCTTCTAAAACACATCTAGCTCACATTAAGGTGATTTCCTTCTCTGATCAGGTTCTCAATGTCCAGCAATTAAAAATAAATCATGTTTTTAAATCATAATCAAATTATTATAATCACTTACAAGATACTTATAGGGAAAATAACAAGTAATTTGTTGTGGCCACCTGTTCCCTCTTATGGAGGAAGTGAGGTAAATTACAGTGGTAGAGGTTGACAATCAGATATTCAGAAAAACATCATGATTGTAATCTCAGTAAGGCCAAGGGTGATCTGTTACCCTGTTTCTTTCTTAACTTCTCACCTGGAAACTTTTTTCTTTTCTTAATATTTTGTTATTTGGCCATACCCAGCAGAGCTCAAGCTTACTCCTGCCTCTGAGCTCACAGATCACTCCTCACACCTGGCAAGGGTTAGGGGGCCATGTAAGTACAGGGGCTGACCCTGAGACAGCTGTGTGAAAGGCATCTTAGCCACCATCCCATCTCTCCAGCCCTACAACCGAGGCCTTTTTTTTAAAATTTGTATGTTTCGTAAAGGTATGAGGGATTTTTTGTTTTGTTTTTTAAAGCTGATACTCTTCTTAGAGTCAGCACTTAGCTGGGTGAGCAGGAGGGTTCAGTGAAACCTGCAGTCCCAGCATCCTCTTTTTTGACATTTAGTTCTAAGGAAACTTGAGATGTGGCTGACTTCCAGCGAAAAGCTAGAGAATGTAACTGTCACATGGGTATGGTCTGCACTAGAGACCGTGTCGAAGCCTCAGGAAGTATGTTACATGACTTTGGAGACTGAATGACTCCCTGCTGTTTCATACTCCTGAAAGGTCTCCCCTGGTAAGCAACTCAGAAAGGATCTGGACTGTCTACATCTTTTTTTTAATAGTGAAACAACATGAGGTACAGTTGTAGATTTACAAGTTTTTGTGCTTGGGTTTCAGTTATACAGTGATCGAGTGCCCATCCCTCCACCAGTGCCCATTCTCCACCACCAATGATCCCAGTATCCCTCCCACCCCCCATCTCATCCCCATCCCATCCCGCCTTTGTGGCAGGGCATTCCCTTTTGTTCTCTCTCTCCTTTTGCGTGCTGAGGTTTGCAAAAGAGGCATTGAGTGGCAATCATGTTTGGTCTATAGTCTACTTTCAGCATTCATCTCCCATCCTTGGAGGATCCTCCCAACACCCTTTATTTGGTGCTCCCTTCTCTATCTGAGCTGCCTTTTCCCTAGCATGTGCGGCTGGCCTTCAAGCCATGGAGTGACCCTCCTGGTACTTATCTCAACTATTCTTGGATGTTAGTCTCCTATTTTGTTACTTTATATTCTCCAGATGAATGCAATCTTTCTATGTCTGTCCCTCTCATTCTAACTCATTTCACTTAGCATGATACTTTCCATGTAGTACCACTTGTATGTAAATTTCATGACTTCATCTTTTCTAACAGCTTTGTAGCACTCCATTGTGTAGATGTACCAGAGTTTCTTTAACCAGTCATCTGTTCTCGGGCACTCGGTTTTTTTTCCAGATTTTGGCTATTGTCAACAGTGCACCAATGAACCTAGACGTGCAGATGTCATTTCAGCTATACTCTTTTGGCTCTCCTGGATATTCCCAGGAGTGGTATTGCTGGGTCAAATAGGAGCTCAATTTCTAATTTTTTGACAATCATCCATACTGTTTTCCAAAAGGGCTGAACCAATCGGCATTCCCACCAGCAGTGAAGTCCTTTTCTCCCCACATCTGCGCCAACACCGGTTGCTTTTGTCCTTTTGGAAGTGGGCCAGTCTCTGTGGTGTGAGATGATACCTCATTGTTGTTTTGATCTGCATCTCCCTGATGATTAGCGATGTAGAGCATTTTCGCATTTTCTCATGTGCCTTTTAACCATTCGGATTTCTTCTTTGAGAAAGTTTCTGTTCATTTCATCGCCCCATTTTTTGATGGGGTTGGATGTTTTCTTCTTGTGGAGCTCAACCAGTGCTTCGTATATCCTTGATATCAACCCCTTATCAGATGTGTATTGGGTGAATATGCTTTCCCATTCTGTATATTTCTTTGTATTCTGGTCACTGTATCTTTTGAGGTGCAGAAGCTTCTTAATTTAAGATAGTCCCATTTGTTTATCTCTGTTTCCACTTGGTTGGTCAGTGGAGTGTCGTCTTTGAAGATACTGTTAGCCTCAATATCGTGGAGGGTTTTACTGACCTTTTCTTCAATATACCTTATGGATTTTGGCCTGATATTGAGGTTGATGGACTGCCTACATCTTTAACTCATTTTGTTCACACTCACTTGTAGATACGTGCAGTGATCTGAACTTGGAACTGCAGCGGGTGCTGACTGGACTGGAGAATGTTGTGTGCTGCAGGAAGAAAAGCAGCTGCAGCCTGTCGGTGGCTGAAGTGGACAGACACATAGAGCAGCTCACCACGGCCAGCGAACACTGTGACCTGGCGATGAAGGTAGAGTCCCCAGCCCTGTTTGACTCTTTGCATTGTAACTCTTTTTTTTTTTTTTTTTGCTTTTTTTTGGGGGTCACACCCAGTGATGCTCAAAGATCATTCCTGTCTCTACAATCAGGAATTACTCCTGGCGGTGCTTGGGGACCATATGGGATGCCAGGGATCGAACCCTGGTCAGCCACATGCAAGGCAAATGCCTTACCCACTGTACTATCACTCAGGCCCCTGGAACTCATTTTTGAAGGTGATTTTAGCAAATACTTTTCTTCATAGTGTTTCTATGGTATAGAAGATCTAGAGTGGACAGCCATGGTATGAAGGGGCCACCAGAGCCTGGCATATTCTTCTTGGACTGAGTTACATTAAGAAAGTTTGCTATATTGCCAAATATGGTCACTGGCTCAGTAGTAAAACTGACAATCTCTTTGGAAACTTAGACTACTAGCATTGATCCACAGCATTTTAGTATGTTTTATAATATGACACTTAGTCTGTAAGCTTAACCTTGAAGTTCTCTTAAAATATTAAGACTTCTAGAAGATAAACTCATGAACTATCAGTTCATGTTGCTAACCAGAAGGAAGCTCAGGCCTAAGTGAGCCACCTGTTCGAAGTGCCCTGGAGCAAGGTCTAGCCACACCTTTTACATACTGTCTTCCTGCACAAGGAGGATAAGCTGGGTGCAATCGCTGCATCCATCAAACTCGTGAGCAAGGGGAAAATCAAGTCCTGGTAATTATTGGCTCGGGTTGCTCTGCGTTAATTCACCATAGCTCAAGAGTTTCATGATCTTGGCATAGAGATTCAAACTGAGAAGTCTGGAAGGGAAAATGTGACGTGTTATTTTAAGAACTACTAGGGCTCTTGGCACAAGTGTTCATCAGCCAGGACCCTGGATTTCATGTAGACCGTGACTGATGTTGATGACATCTATGCCTCTGGATAACTGTGTGCTGGTGTCACTGGTGTCATTGATGTGGTATGAAGAAGCCAACACAAATGCTGCTTGCTCTGGTGTTTCCCAAGTCCTGTTTCAACTACTGTCAGTGTCGCCTTGGGCGGCGGGGGGGGGGAGGCTTATGCCAAATACTACCAGCCAGAAAGAACTGCGTGGTACTTGGAGGAGGCCAGAGAGGAGAGAAAGGGCAGAGACCCACATGTGCAAGCAGCTCAGCTTTGGGCTGGTGAGAGGCATACCCTCATATTTTGCCTTTTGAGATCTCCCTTTTCTGACTTCTACCCCTTTCCTTCTCTTTCAGTATTGAATTATACTTACTTTTCTGAAAGAAAATCTCACTGAATATTTCTGAAAGTAAACAGAATAAGTTCTTTGCTTTTTGTGTGCGTGCCTCTACTCCATTAGTGTTGCTTTTGTCCAGTCATGCTCAGGAACTGCTCCTTAGTTCTGTGCTCAGGAGTGATCCCTGGTGGTACTCAGGGCCTGGGATTAGAAGAAGGGTGAGTGGAATGCAAGGCAAGCATCTTAGCCCCTGTACTATCTCTCTGGCACATTACTAATACTGTATTAAATGAATTCTTCAAAGTTCCCCAAGTATTCGATTTCCATTATGTTCTTTCAATAACTTCCTTAGTAACCAAACCTGCTGCTTAGAGACTTGTGTAGAGGCTTCCTCTTTCCTGTCATGAGTGTACTTTTGTCTTAAGACTGGACGTCACTCACACTCTCTGGATTGTTCTGTGACCCACTAAATGCTTTCTGGAGACACTGGCATTGCTAAGTGATAACACAGGAGGCCAATAATCTAGCCCATTTCCCGTCCAACTTCATATGCATTTTGCAGTACCAGGATCACTAACTGGCTTGTTGTCTGGACACATGTATTCTCCAGGACATGGATGAAGGAGATAAACATTCACTTTGACATGGCAGTTAGCAGCACAAATTGGATGAGATGTGAGAAAGGGACTGTGTCTTTCTGGCTCTGGAGCAGCTGCAGGCACCAAGTGTGGCCCTGGGTGTCTTCTCCACAGTGTGGGCAGGGCCTTCAGGGTCCACCTCCACCAACACTTAGTCTCCAGTCCTGGCCCCGCCCTCAGACGCACCCCTGTCCTGGTGCTGTTCCCTTCACCTCTTCTCAGGGTGACTGCTTGTCCTTGTGGCTGTGTCTTTCAGACTGTCGAGGAGATAGAGGGGGTCCTTGGCCGGGACCTATATCCCAACCTGGCTGAAGAGCGTTCCCGTTGGGAGAAGGATCTGGCAGGGCTGAGGGAAGAGAATGAGAGTCTGACAGCCATGCTGTGTGGCAAAGAGGAGGAGCTGAACAGGACCAAGGCCACCATGAACGCCATCCGGGAGGAACGAGACCGGCTTCGGAGACGGGTGAGTGCTAAGCGCCATGGGCCCCAGGCAGCATTAGAAGATGGGAGCATCTGTGGTCATAGAGATCACTTTTCTTATGAGGAAGTCATTCTTCTCTGGCCGTACCTGGAAAGTGCTTGGGGCTTTCCAGGTCAGGCTTCGGGGACCAGTGTTGCTGGGAATGGAACCTGGAGCAGCAACATGCAAGTCAAGCTCCTTAACTCCCCTAGGAAATCATTCTTGAAAGTGATTTCAAAAAGCCTAGTCATGGGAGTAAAATTTTTAAATCTCCTTCCTTGCAATTGCAGATCTGAAGAGATGACAAAATTCTATTTAGGTAGTGATTCTCAAACTGTTCTACATTTTCCCTTATTCAGTTAAAGTTTCCCCTTTCACAATGATTAATAAATATTTGGAATTTCCCCCTTTGCATATTTTTCTTCTATAATATTTTCTTTAAATTTATGATACCCAGGGCCAAGGAGCCAGCACTGAAGTCAGGGGTGGCTGCTTGGTGTGTGGGACCCTGATTCAGTCCCCTACATCACATGCTCCTCCCTCAGGACCTCCATGCACAGCCCCAGGGGCTTCCCGTAATCAGGACCTGAGCTACTCCAAATGCTTAGACCCCAGCATTGAATCATTTGGACTGATTGACTGTCTAGTACAGGAACCTCTTGAGATCTGCTTAGAAACCCACCCAGAAGGAAAACAGGGGAAGGGATGGAGATAGGTGGGAAGTTGGGCTACACCCAGTGGTGCTAAGGGCACCCCTTGCTCTGTACTCAGAGATCACTGCTGAGTGAGCTCTGGGAATCATGTATGGTGCCATATCAAACTGGACTCAGCCACATGAAAGAAAAGTTCCTCAACTCCTATACTATCTCTCCAACCCCAAGAACATTTATCTTAAAAAATAAATTTGAGGGGCCAGAGCAATAGTACAGTGGGTAGGGCATTTGCCTTGCATGCGGCCGACCTGGGCTCAATTTCCGGGATCCCATATGGTTCCCCAAGCATCACCAGGAGTAATTCCTGAGTGCAGAGCCAGGAGTAAACCCTGAACATCGCTGGGTGTGACCCCAAAAACAATAAATAAATAAATTTGAAAATGCCTGCTTCCCTTATCTATACTGAATCTAATGTGAAATGGCATCTTTTCTAGGGAAGACTTACTTGAGTTAAAATAAGCACATGTGTGTGATTGTGTGTATACTGTGTATAGTCTCATATTACGTGTTGTGTGGATATGGATGTCCTGATATTCACCCTGACAGGCCCTTAGACCCAAACCAGTTGGAGAACCACTGTTTAGGAACTAGATCCATTGCTAAAGGAGTTTCTGTTTTGGAATAGAAATGTTTGGCAGAATTGTTAGGGTATTTATGAAACTGGAGTTTCTTCTCAGGAACCTACAGTGCTCTGATGCTGGACTATGAGTTTGATCTATTATTGAACTGAGAGTGAAGCAATGAGTTCTTCAATCAGAATGATTCCCTCTGAACTTTACCTTAAATTCCTAGACAGCAATATTAGAAATATACTTTGGAGGGGGGGTGGTAGTCAGGGGTTGGGCCACACCTCGAATGCTCAGAGGTTGCTCCTGGTCCTGCACTCAGGAATCACTCCTGGTGATGCTCTGGGGACCATAAGGGATGATGGGGATTGAGCCCAGGTGAGCCACCCTGGGCTGCAAGAGCAGCACCCTCCCCACTATACTATAGTTTCAGATCTTAGAAACATACTTTCAAGTCATGCTCTGACCAGTAATTTTGCACACAGATAAAGTTAAATCATCAGGAAGAATACTTACAGTAGTTTCACCATCCTTATCTCTGATACTCCCATACTTTCAAGAAAGCTTGGTGATAATTTGTTCTTCATTAGGTCAGCACACGCTTGGCAATCTATTCTTGAGCCATACACAAGTTGGTTTCTGTTGTTTATGCTTAAGGGGACAGTTACTGTTTTTGAGTATTATCAACTCTTTTTCCCCCCATCTGCAGCTAATTTCTCATTAAAAGGCCCACATTCTCGATCTTGTATGTGAACAACAACAGAGAGTGTTAGTGAAGTGGAGGAGTTGGCCGTTCACCTGGCTGCAGTGGGGGATGTAGGTGTCCCTTCCTAGGCTCCACTCCTGAGAGAGCTCCAGAGTTTTCAGCTGGGGAAACTGGCCCTGCTATACCAGTTCACAATTAAACCTCTGAGAAGATGCAGTCCAAGCAGCTAAAAGTAAAACTAAAATTTACTTTTCAGTGGCTTCTAATGAAAAATATATGAAAAATTTGTTTTTCAATGGCTTCTAAAAATATGTCTCTTCCTCAGCTAGAAATGTTTCTAAAGAATTTGCCTGCATACCCATGAATTTTATTTGTTGTGCTTCATTTCAAGATAATCATGGGTCTCATAAATCTTTCTTTGAGTGCTGCCCCAATAGACTTGATTTCCCTAAGGAAGAATCATCTCTGTGTTTGACTGTCTTCTGACCCCGCTGACCCATGTCTACAGAACAGGGTGTGGTTCTATGCCTAGCAGGCCCCTGATATCTGGCAAGCTGCCTCTTCTGCCTTGCCTGCATTTCCTCCACATTGCCCAACACTCTTTTCATCACCCACAATCACTCTATAGAATTTGAGCTGACCAGATCAATAAAATTGGTGTGTGCCCCCTGCCTGCAATTAAACAAAGTGCTCTCAATAGATTTTTTAAGCCTTGTTCAAGACTTAATTAAATTAGATCTTTAATATCAGTTAATAGATTTGGTTACTTGGCAGAACAGTAACTGAGGAATAGGCAATTTTTATTATTGGTTCCAGCTCATTACTCAATGATGTGAGCACCCATTTCTGAATGGCCATTCATCTTCTTTTAAACAAGTGACCTTCATTTAGAGAAAAGAGAACTAATTACTCTAGAAAGGAATCGCTTTACTATTTACACTGATTCGCTTTACTATTTACACTGATAAACTGAAGTCAGTTCAATCCCCCTCTAAATGTCTTAAAATAGTACTCTTCAACCAGTTTTACACCTGCAAATGAACACCTGCATATTAGTCCACAGGTTGAAAACCAGTGGTTTCCAACCTTTCTACACCTGCAGTCCAGCTCTTGTTCTCAGGGGTCAGTACTGATGGTACTTGGGAGACCATCTGTGGTGCCTGGGATCAAACAAGGGTCAGCCACATGTCACCTACAACATGGTCAGACTTCTTCGTCAAGACCCTGAATGATCGGTTTGAGGCTCTGCATGTTCCTAGAACAAACAGATATCATTGGGCTACGCTAGCACGCAACCGGGATGAATGGAGACATTACTGGCACCCGCTCGAGTAAATCAATGAATAACGGGGATTAAGTGATTAAGTGATTAAGTGATATATATATATACATATATATGATATTTAAATTTTTTAAAATTTCCGTAAAAAATTTTATTGCGGTATAATTGGCATCAGATGTGTAATCTAGTCACTTGACATATGGAGATATTAGGAAATTATTACCACAACAAATCTAGTTTATATTTATCATTGCACAGCTAAATTTTTTGTGTGTATGGTGAAAAAACTTTCAAAGAACTTCCTTAAAAAGTTTTAGATACAAAAAAAAAAAGGGGGGGGGGGCTGGAGCGATAGCACAGCGGGTAACAGCGGGTAGGGCGTTTGCCTTGCACGCAGCCAACATGGCCGACACAGGTTCGATTCCCAGCATCCCATATGGTCCCCCGAGCACCGCCAGGAGCAATTCCTGAGTGCATGAGCCAGGAGTAACCCCTGAGCATCGCTGGGTGTGACCCAAAAAGCAAAAAAAAAAAAGTTTTAGATACAGGCCAGGGAGATAACACAGAGGTTACAATGCTTGGTTTGCAAGCAGCCAGCTCTGATTTGATTTTCAGCACAGCAGATGGCTCCCAATTCCAGCTCAGAGTGATCCTTGGGCATGGAACCAGAAGCCCTGTGCACTGCCCAAACCCACTCCCCAGCCACAAAAAAATTTGAATATACAGTACTGTGTTAGTAGCTATTGATGTCATGCTGTACATTTCATCCCTGGGAATTGCATTTTTATAATTGAAAGTATTGTTTTTTAATATTTCTGCTACATTTTGAGGGGCTAGAGTGATAGCACAGCAGGCAGGGCGTTTGCATTGCACACGGCCGACCCGGGTTCAGTTCCTCCGCCCCTCTGGGAGAGCCCGGCAAGCTACCGAGAGTATCCCACTCGCATGGCAGAGCCTGGCAAGCTTCCCGTGGTGTACTCGATATGCCAAAAACAGTAACAAGTCTCACAATGGAGATGTTACTGGTGCCCGCTCTAGCAAATTGATGAACAACGGGAGGACAGTGCTATATTTTTGAGTTCAAGATCCACACCCAGTCTCGGGGTTCTGTGCTCAGAAGTGACCTGTGACAGTGCTTGGGTAACCATATGCACTTCCAGAGATGAAACTCAGGTCTTCCATATGCAAGATAAGAACCTTTCCGAGAATTTTCTCTCTCTGGTCCTGGCAGTGTGATTTGTAACCGTCACCCATTTCCTCAACCCCCCTCACCCTTCTCCTCTTACTGTTATACTCTCTGAATCTTAGTTTTGTTGCAGCTCTTTTTTTTCTTTGTTTGTTTGTTTGTTTTTTGCTTTTTGGGTCATACCTGGCGATGCACAGGAGTTACTCCTGGCTCTGCACTCAGGAGTTACTCCTGGTGGTGCTCAAGGGACCATATGAGATGCTGGGAATCGAACCCGGGTTGGCTGCGTGCAAGGCAAACGCCCTACCAGCTATGCTATCTCTCCAGCCCCAGCAGCCCTTTTTTTTGTGCTGCTTTTTTAGATTCCACATATATTTGAATCAAAGGTCTATTTCCCTGATCTGTTGTACTCATGCCTTCAAAGTATGTGTATCCATGCTGTCACATGGCATAATTCCATTCCTTTATATCACTGAATAACACACCTACACACCTGGTGTTCCACTGTGGAAAAATAGTTGGAGACTCTTTTCAGAAGTCTTTTCAGAGC